GAGCACCAAGAAATGGAAACAAGCATCTGCAATCCTGCAGGATCTGGCCAATCCAGGGCGTTCATGTCAATGTCCTTCATCATTGTATTACATGGGTTATATGCACTTGTACAAGCCTATGCAACTCCTGAATGGTGATGACAACTCATGTGAATTACTTCTGTGGGAATGAAATAAACTGAAATATGAAATGTGCTTGCTTTAAGTACCTACCGCTACCACATACCTCGCATGTCACTACCTGTGGGGAAAATATATGGCGCACCTGAGTAAGTAAGACCGCATTCTCCACGACGCACACACCTACCGATACCTTTCAAGAAACGGACAAACATATCACGGCTCTGGCTCCCACCACGCGACGAACCCATCGCCTCCCGTACCCGAAACCAACGGCATCCCAGCCTCCTGCAACTGACGAGTGCATTTTCGAGCAGTGAAGGTCCGCGTCGCAAGACAACTACAACAATATTCGTTCCATCAGAAAACCACTAGCAGCACCAAAATCATCGATGGCACATCTTTTTCAACTAGATCATTCAAAGACTCGCCGAGCAAGAAGTCCAGCATGCCAACTATGCTCTTAACTTACCTCATATTAAGATAACATGTTAGCGATTTTACCAAAGGACGTGCATCTTGCGAACAGTGGTGGAAAATTCCAAAGATTGCAGCATTGCACATCCTTTTCAAAGCGCCTGTTTCATTCCTGCTCCTGCCATACGAGCCACCAATCACCATCCAACTTGCAATTAAACTAAAAATCATAGCATTCAAACACACCACATATCGGCACTTTTGAGATACAATCATGACATGAAATGGCACCCAAATATCACTTTGTGGGCGGCACTTTTGGTGGCAACGGCTTCTTTTGGGTTCTTAAATGTCATCGGGAATTACGTTCCCAAAATGGGAGTTTGTGGCATGCAGCATTCCAAAACTTATTACTTTTGTATAAATGATAGTACGTCAACCACTTTTTCAGGAATCAGTAAATGCCGGTCTTTGAAGATTCGAGGATATCTTACTTATTGAACAACGGTATCATGTCTATACTTGTAAGATAGAGATGGTCCATAACCCAGTGGGAAAAAATCGCAGTACTTGGTTGCCCTTCTCACAATGGGGCCTATGGGGAGACCCGGGGAGAACAAGCCGGAGTACAAGGCGGAGAACAGCAAGTTTTTAGCAAAGTTAGCCAAATTGAATTGAAAAAATTTACGTGTTTTGGTATCGCCCAGATACGGGCCTTCCTCAGAGGGTGTTGAAATGGCATGATATGCCTTAGAATGAGAAATATCTATAGATTTGTAGTACAGGTACTGCATTATCTCGGCGTTGTCTTGCGCCACCAGAAGATAATATATATTTGTACGTGGAAAATAGCAACTTGAAATGCATGACTGTAAAGCTCTATGATTTTTCTACCACAAACTTAACAATTTGTGTTGGTGCAACTGCATAAATGGCTTTTCTTAGACTATTCATCACAGCCTGTCATTTCAGGACCGACCCGTGGTACTTGTACCTGGTTGCCCCATTGACGAGTGCTAAAATGCCATCACAATGTCTGTGAATGCGCCAGAACTCCTGTGCATGGTTTGGTTGTTCGTCTTGATGTGGTGGGAGTGAGGAGGGTGGAGGATGAGTGAAGCTGCTTGGGATTATGTGCATCGTAGTTGCGGGTTTGAGGTATTCAGTGAGGCAAAGTGGAATTGATTGTCTTCGATTTTCACACAGCATGCATCCACACTTCTAAAGTTACTTGGGATTTAGCTTTGAACCGCTATTAAGTCATTCCAAAAAAGGTAAAGAAATACCGGAGGACTGATCTATAAATGTTCACCACTGCAGGCTGGTACAGAATCACCTTGGTATAACCTGCTCTACCTACAGCATGGTGGGTAGGTACATAGGTACTAAGATCTATATACAACATTAATGCTAGGCTTGGGTTTTCCATTTGGGATCTAATATGAGGCTGGCCTCTTTTCAGCCTGTGGTTATAATTGCTGTAACCTGACAGGTGGCAATGCTGCCATGTTCCTTGCTGTCAGGCATAAGGTCTTGCAGTGACACTATTAAAATTGTCCCTACATAGGATTATAGGGAACTTGGAGAAGAGGAGAGGGATAACAGGAGGTGCAGGAAGAGAGGAGGAGCAGAAATGGAGAAGGAGTGGAAGGAGAAGAGTGACAGAAAGAGAAGGTGAGGAACTGAAAGAGGAGAGGAGCAGAAAGAGGATAGGAAGAGGAACACTTTTGGTATATTTATATTAATTATGTAAAGGCCAAAACAACAACATGTTAGTGATGTCACATACATAAGGCTTTCATAGTCAGTTGCAGCTGCCTAAGACTCATTAAAAAACCAGGGTGTGATGCACAGTAATTGTCTGCAATTCAGTTTGTCAGTAAGCAGAGGATGCACCTGATTTATCATTTTGATATTGTGTAAGTTTGCATGTAGATAGGTAATGATAAGAAACTAAGCTTTGTATGGTGCACCTGTGAATGCATATGTATAAAGTTTTGTTGTTAACCTCTTTAACTGTATATTTCTTATTAACATGTACCATTACTCGATCTTTGCATGTGTAGGTGAGCTAGTAGCACTACAGGGATATGGATGGGATCAGTGTGGTACCCTCACTCACAAGAAGTGCTCTGTTCCGCTGAAATGCAAAATTGCATGCTGACACTAATTTTTGCCAGAAAAATGTTGGGAAAATGTTGACCCATTAAAGGCAGTATGTGATGTACTCCAAGCAAGGCCCATTGTGCAGACACTCATTCCACATTAGACAGACCTTTGCTTTCAGGCAAGTTTGTACTCCGACCACACAAAAAATTTGTACTCCGCCACCAGCAAAAAAAACTAAATTTCCCACCCTGATATCAGGTCGGGAAGCCCCGACCTTGAACTGCTATCTGATGCATCAAAGGGGCCTCTTGAATAGAGAGTGCCTCTTAATCCAGTACAGGGCTTCCTGGCTTGTAACACAGCCTGCCAAGCCAGCAAAGGCTCACCATAACACAACATTGGGCCTTCTGATCTAGAACATCAGGGGCCAGGGTGCCAGATGGCAGGAGTACTACATTAGACTATCAGGAGCAGAGACAAGAGCCAGACCATTAGTGCTATATGAAAAATTTATCAAGGCTGTATACCACATAAAATGTTTAAAGCCTAGTTTGGCTCAACAACTGATGTATAATGCAGGGATCACTCAGCACACATTCAGCTTTTTTACCACTGCAGAGGATGATCAAGCCATTAAGTAATAATATTAGCCAAACAAGGGCAATGAGGAGTCAATCCAATCTGCAACCTTGATAGGTTATGAAAACAAACTGAAAAAGCCAGCATGTTTGCTAGCATATGGAAGCTGCATAGAAACTGGTTACAGTCTGGGAAGACCTCTGTGATGAGCAACTTCTCAGCGTGATCCTTGTCAGTCAGCCACACCAACAGCTTTCTTACACACACACACACATATATATATATATATATATATATATATATATATATATAATCTAAACACTGCTTTTAAATAAGTTTGCATACATGCAAAGAGTATGTGAACAGTTGTAAACAACAACAATCATGTTTATTGTTTGCATTCTAACCTTAGTGGGTCCTAAAATGCATGTTGATGAATCTAAGATCTCCAGTAACATCTTTCCTTGCCTCACCAGATCCAAATTTGCTTTTCAAACACAGCTGCTGTTTTTCCAAAGTTTTTAAAATTGATAAATACCTGTTTTTGTCCACTCGTTTTGTTACAATTGCATACCTCGCTCACAAGATATCTCCTTGTCAATGCTAGATTTTGAGAAAAAAACTTTATCATTCCCAGCTGTTACTTTACAGCTTTCAATACATTTTGTTAGAAGCACATATGTACTGGTCAAATCTTTTCTTAAATTCACACCACCTGATGTAAAATACTTTTCAGCATATCAACAAAATCAACAGATTTTGATGAAAACACCTACCCAGTCTTGCTTTCAGCCAGGATGGGCCAATTCCATCTCAAACCAGAAGACAGGCATTCAAAGAATCAGCTGAAGATCACCATTATCTTATACATAAGCACTGTAACATTCAATCAGCTGACAAAACCTGCTCCCATTTGTGACAAAATGTATAGGTACAAAGTATGTGCTACTTTTAGTGAATTATATGAAAATGAAAAAAAATGAAAATGAAAAATACGAAGTAGAAACAAGTGCGGGAAAATCAGTCCAGCCTGCTGATGCTGACAGAGGGAATGGCACCATGGATTTTTGGTTTGGGGGGGGAGGATATCCAAGGGGCCTCCTAAGCAACATGGGGCTGCCTCACAGGGGGCCCCATGGGCAATGTTGTCTCGAAAGTTGAAGGGAAAGGAAAATTGCAGGCATATGTTCTTTTACCAAACTGTTATAAGCATTATATCCACGTAAACAGATGTTGACAATAAAACAAACAGGACCTTATAATTTTGCAACAAAGGGCATTGGTACCATACAACATGGCCTCCTGGCACGTGAAAGGGCTTTGTCACCAAGAACGGCATACTTCCAATCCACAAAAGGGGTCTTCAAAGTTTGAGGAAATCCTGATTTGGAACTGCTGCCATCTACCCGTCTGCCGGCAATGGGAGAGGGGGGGGGGGGGGGCGGGGACAGCCCCTATGCCGTTGCTGCGTCGTCCCTGGTTGAAAGTGCCCTGATTTTGACCTACACCTCGTCCCTGGCCAAGTGTACCTACTTAATGAAATCACTTTCATTGATCTGTGACTCGATTCGATATGCACATACCTTTATGCACGCACAATATGCACATACCTTCAATCCCCACTTGTGGTGCACCACATCCCACCCCCACCCGCACCCCGGCACGCCCGGCGTTCAAAACCGCGCGTCGGTGCGGACACGGTCGCAAACGCAGGCGAGTGCGCATGCGCAAACGTGACGTCATGAAGCTGACTCGATTTACACAGTGGTGCAGCTGTGTGTAAATCGACTCGGATCCGACATGATTTACACAGAAGGGCCGTTTTCAGTAAATCGACTCATGAGTCGATATACACGCTCCCTTTAATTTAAGTTCTGATTTCGAAAGTAAAACAAATCTGGCTCAGACATCAACATCAAGATGCTCCTCAAACTTTAAACCATTTAAATTATCGCCACTTCTATACTCCCTTCCGGAACTCGGCCGTCGTCGTCCATCTTTGGGAGGTCGGAGGCGGATAGGGGCCGGCCGGTTCGCATAATTCTTGTTACAACATTTTCGGACGTGTGTCATCGTCATCTGACAGCTTCTCGAACCAACATGCCGGTAAGAGTCCAAATGTTCGATTGAAGTGGTAAGATCAGCTGCATTCGACGTGGTAGGCCTCCTGGTCTGCGACGTGTCTATTCAGTTGGCGCTGGAAGCCATAAAGTTACTTGGTGAAGCATGGTTTAGCGTGTTGAGGGTGATGTTGAGCGTCTGATTTGGCTAGGTGAAGCAGGTAGTATCGTGGTGGTAGTATGTTATATCAATGCAAATCTTGATGTACTTGCCAGATCGCTAAATGCAGCTACGTTGAATATATCCAGCAATGGTGGCATTGAAGAAAATATTACAGGGCATGTATGCCATAGATTTTGTTGATTAAGTGTTCGTTTTATGTTCGTATAAGGGAGCTGTTGTTTATTGACAGTTGAAGTATGAGAGGCCTGTTTCAATTGTAAGTAGGCAATCTTATTCTCAATGGAGGTGATTGGCAATTACTGATAATTGGGAGCAAGAAAAATGCATTGGGGTGATGCAAATTACAGTCCAGCTATGTAGAATTGAAGGTGTTCTTCAAGTAGGTCACCTTTTAAGGAGAAAAATCTACACTGGGCAATTACATGCAGTTTGTAGTGGACACATTCAGCTCGCATTAGCAAAATTGCCCAACTTTGAAATCATAGAACCCAAATGATGTCTTAAGCACCAAAAATGATAAGAGGGGCAACTATTATCAGCAATTTTAGGGTGTTGGCCATTGCTGCTTGCAATGGTGGTATGAAAGATTGCTTATTGTTGTCACTAACTTACTGTATGACATGAGTCTGGCAAGAAAGCATCATTTTCACCTGCAGCATACAGCAGAAAATTAATGAGACATACTAAAAGGGCAAAATAATAATCAAATCACAGATATAAGGGCAACCAAGAGAAAGATCCCAGTTTATCACATTCATTGCATAATTTTTTTGCTTGTGAAATGCAGTGGTTTGTAGATGTAGTTTGGCATATGGTCCATTGCACAACGACATAAAAGGCACGTACCCTGTTACCTTATCTTTACACATATTGCACCTCCTACATTATTTCCAGCCATAAGATTTAACTGACAGCCCACGTTTGCAGCACGTGCGCATACATTTATTGGTGCGGTGCACCTCATACACTACTTCCCTTGTGATTCACATTTGTAAGATGTAAACATGTGCTGACAATGTTGGTTGAGCTGCAACACTTTAGTTCAATGGTTATGATTCATGCATTGCCATGAGATGTTGTCATGTGCGGACTGACTATAGTAGTACCCTCTAGAAGTGCACCTCTTGTATAATTCCAATTGGCCAGACCTGAAAACCAGTCTGGCATCCAAAGACATACTCTACCAAGATAAAAGCCAACAGCAATCCCAAAGAGAAGCCAAGCCCCCAAAACAAGACAGGATGAAAGCCACCATTTGCAGTAGGGCTACATACACATTTATTGGTGCAGTGCACCTCATGTGTGAGTCTGGATAATGTGATTCACACTTATTAGAAATACAAACATGGTGCCAGTAATGTGGATTGAGCTATAATGCTTCCTTTCAATGGATATGGCTTGTGTTGTCGATAAATGCTGCCATAATGTCACTGTCATGCAGGTGGATTGTAGAAGCACCCTGCTTAAGTTGTGCACCACTTGTATAATTCCAATTGGTGAGACATGGAAACCACTCTGACCTCCAAATACATCTTCTCGAGATAATATGCTAACAACAGTACATTATGTGCTAACAACAAATTCCTAAGGAAGTGAGCCATGCCTGGAAACTGAAGATCAAGGCAAAGCCAGCATTTTTGGTACAGCACATATATGCATATTGGCGCCAGGCACCTCAAACGCGAGAGTACTGTCTCCGCAGAGAATGTATTTGGGTGCCAGAGTGGTTTTCAGCCTGTGCAGTTAGAATAATGCAGGAGGTACACTTCTTTAGGAGGGTGCTACTACGGTCTGTCGGCACAACATAATGGCAACATCTCATGATGATGCATGAGTCATGTTCATTGAACTGATGTGTTGTAGCTCAATCCACATTGTTGGCACAATGTTTGTATTTCTAATAAGTGTGATTCACATTATCCAGACTTGTGTCTGAGGTGCGCTGGGCCAGTACATGTCTATGTACCATACCAGAAATGTTGGCTTTGCTTTGGTCTTGGGTTCCCTAGGCTTAGCTCATTTCCTTAGGATTGCTGTTACTGTATTATGTTGGTAGAGAGTGTCTTTGGATGTCTGGAAGATTTTCGGGTCCCACCAGGGTGGGAAATTTAGTTTTTTTTGCTGGTGGTGGAGTACAATTTTTTTGTGGTCGGAGTACAAACTTGCCTGCAAGCAAAGGTCTCTAATGTGGAATGAGTGTCTGCACAATGGGCCTTGCTTGGAGTTCATCACATGCTGCCTTTAATGGGTCAACATTTTCCCAACATTTTTCTGGCAAAAATTAGTGTCAGCATGCAATTTTGCATTTCAGTGGAACAGAGCACTTCTTGTGAGTGAGGGTGCCACACTGATCCCATCCATATCCCTGTAGTGCTACTAGCTCACCTATACATGCAAAGATTGAGTAATGGTACATGTTAATAAGAAATATACAGTTGAGAGGTTAACAACAAAACTTTATACATATGCATTCACAGGTGCATCATACAAAGCTCAGTTACTTATCATTACCTATCTACATGCAAACTTACACAATATCAAAATGATAAATCAGGTGCATCCTCTGTTTACTGACAAACTGAATTGCGGACAACCACTGTGCATCACACCCTGGTTTTTTAATGAGTCTTAGGCAGATGCAACTGACAATGAAAGCCTTATGTATGTGACATCACTAATGTGCTGTCCTTTTGGCCTTTACATAATTAATATAAACATACCAAAAGTGTTCCTCTTCCTATCCTTCTCTTTCTGCTCTTCTCCTCTGTCAGTTCCTCACCTTCTCTTTCTGTCACTCTTCTCCTTCCACTCCTTCTCCACTTCTGCTCCTCCTCTCTTCCTGCACCTCCTGTTATCCCTCTCCTCTTCTCCAAGTTCCCTATAATCCTACGTAGGGACAATTTTGATAGTGTCACTGCAAGACCTTATGCCGGACAGCAAGGAACATGGCAGCATTGCCACCTGTCAGGTTACAGCAATTATAACCACAGGCTGAAAAGAGGCCAGCCTCATATTTGATCCCACATGTGAAACCCAAGCCTAGCATTAATGTTGTATATAGATCTTAGTACCTACATACCTACCCACCATGCTGTAGGTGGAGCATGTTATACCAAGGTGATTCTGTACCAGCCTGCAGCGGTAAACATTTATAGATCAGTCCTCCGGTATTTATTTACCTTTTTTGGACTGACTTAATAGCGGTCCAAAGCTAAATCCCGAGTAACTTTAGAAAGTGTTTAGAAGTGTGGATGCATGCTGTGTGAAAATTGAAGACAACCAATTCCACTTTGCCTCACTGAATACCTCAAACCCGCAACTACGATGCCCATAATCCCAAGCAGCTTCACTCACCCTCCACCCTCCTCACTCCCACCACATCAAGACAAACAACCAAACCATGCACAGGAGTTCGGGCGCATTCACAGACATTGTGATGGCATTCTAGCACTCGTCAATGGGGCAACCAAGGACAAGTACCACGGGTTGGTCCTGAAATGACAGGCTGTGATGAATAGTCTAAGAAAAGCCATTTATGCAGTTGCACCAACACAAATTGTTAGACAAATGGCATATCATGCCATTTCAACACCCTCTGAGGAAGACCCGTATCTGGGCGATACCAAAACATGCAAATTTTTCAATTAAATTTGGCTAACTTTGCTAAAAACTTGCTGTTCTCCGGCTTGTACTCTGGCTTGTTCTCCCGGGGTCTCCCCATAGGCCCCATTGTGAGAAGGGCAACCAAGTACTGCGATTTTTTCCCACTGGGTTATGGACCGTCTCTATCTTACAAGTATAGGTACTGGTCGAGCCTGGAGACATGATACCGTTGTTCAATAAGTAAGATATCCTCGAATCTTCAAAGACCGGCATTTACCGAATCCTGAAAAAGTGGTTGACGTGCTATCATTTATACAAAAGTAATAAGTTTTGGAATGCTGCATGCCACAAACTGCCATTTTGGGAACGTAATTCCCGATGACGTTTAAGAACCCAAAAGAAGCTGTTACCACCAAAAGTGCCACCCACAAAGTGATATTTGGGTGCCATTTTATGTCATGATTCTATCTCAAAAGTGCCGATATGTGGTGTGTTTGAATGCTATGATTTTTAGTTTAATTGCAAGTTGGATGGTGATTGGTGGTTCATATGGCAGGAGCAGGAATGAAACAGGCACTTTGAAAAGGATGTGCAATGCTGCAATCTTTGGAATTTTTCCACCACTGTTTGCAAGATGCACGTCCTTTGGTAAAATCGCTAACATGTTATCTTAATATGAGGTGAGTTAAGAGCATAGTTGGCATGCTGGACTTCTTGCTCGGCGAGTCTTTGAATGACCTAGTTGAAAAAGATGTGCCATCGATGATTTTGGTGCTGCTAGTGGTTTTCTGGTCGAACGAATATTGTTGTAGGTGTCTGTTGCGACGCGGACCTTCACTGCTCGAAAATGCACTCGTCAGTTGCAGGAGGCCGGGATGCCGTTGGTTTCGGGTACGGGAGGCGATGGGTTCGTCGCGTGGTGGGAGCCAGAGCCGTGATATGTTTGTCCGTTTCTTGAAAGGTATCGGTAGGTGTGTGCGTCGTGGAGAATGCGGTCTTACTCAGGTGCGCCATATATTTTCCCCACAGGTAGTGACATGCGAGGTATGTGCCAGCGGTAGGTACTTAAAACAAGCACATTTCATGTTTCAGTTTATTTCATTCCCACAGAAGTAATTCACATGAGTTGTCATCACCATTCAGGAGTTGCATAGGCTCGTACAAGTGCATCTAACCCATGTAATACAATGATGAAGGACATTGACATGAACACCCTGGATTGGCCAGCTCCTGCAGGATTGCAGATGCTTGTTTCCATTTCTTGGTGCTCCATATGTTTGGTCCCTGGAAATCGAATAAAAGTTATAACTCACTTTATGAAAGCAAAGTTCATGCACCCTCCTGGCTATCAAGAAAGCAAAACTGTCTGCCTTGGTACTTATACTCAGGCTCATACATTTGCAATGGTGTCTGCTTTGTGGGGCGACTGCAGCATTTGTCTGGAGTACAACAATTGTCATTCTTACCAGTCAAGAGCCTGGAGTACAAAATTTCCTGGTGCCACATCCACCAGAAAACAGAGGTTTTTCCCACACTGGGTCCCACCCACTTTAATTTTACAAGAGGTGCACTTCTTTCAGAGGGTGCTACTATGGGTGGTCCGCACGACATGATGGCAACATCTCATGATGATGCATGAGTCATGTTCATTGAACCGATGTGTTGTAGCCCAATCGACGTTGTCGGCACGATGTGTTTAAATCTAATAAGTGTGGGTTATGTTATCCTACTCGTGTACAAGGTGCACCCTGCCTAGGATTGCCGGAAGTGCTTTAACTCAACCAATATTGTCGGCTCTTTGCATGTGTTGTCCATTTGGAAATGTCAATTCAAGTTCCATAACTTGAAAAACTTCAGACATGAATGTGAAAAACTAGGATCTTTCTCTTGGTTGCTCTTATGTCTGTGATTTGGTGATTATTTCACCCTTTTAGTACATCTTATTAATCCTCAGCAGTCCATATGTTATAGACAAAATTGCTGCTGTTGTCAACCATTCAACAATTGGCATGTAAAAGGTCCACCTTGAAAAGGCAAAGGCTGGCCTTGGTCTGTATGGATGACCTTGCATCTGTTACATGTTATATTGATGTCTGCTGGTATCATAATCACTATATTTTAAAGGTAAGATGGTACAATATGCAGGCTTTTGTTATTGGTGGCAGTTGTTGGGTGAAACAATTTGGGTTATAATCAAAGAGCTCATGTAAAGGGAGGGATTTCGCCTGGCTGTTCCGCACTCAGAAAATTTTCCCTACTCAAAACAGTTAAATCTCAGCACAGTTTGGCTCAGCCATAGTCCTAAAATATTGTTGTGGTTAACACCATGAAAAAGCTGCTTTGGGGTGTGAACTGCTGATCACAATGTGTATTGAATTGTGGAATCAGATCTGAAGCAAGTGGTAGTTGATGCCACCCCAGCAAGGATTATTTGCATGATAAAATGTTGCAAACCACTCATTTTTTCACGTCTTGCCATCAAGTTTTGAAAACAAAGTTACGACAGGTCAGTCATGTGACATGATGGGGAGGCTGAATGTTCAAGTCAGGTTTTGATGGCTATTCCGAGCTTTTTGCTGTGCCCGCCCTTTCTGCCAGGGTGAGAGGTGGGTGATGTCATGTAAGCTCAGCAGTGGAAGGCATCATAAGGCCACAATGACACGTTACATGGTGTAAAATACAACATGCCCTTCATGCATGGCTTTTGCACCACCATCCCATTTAAGTAATTTCAAAAGCTGTGGTCAATAGGTGTGGCAGAGTCATCACAGACACAGTATTCAGGAGACTAAGTGGCACATCTGTCACCAGCCAGATATGCTCTGTGTGGGCATAAATTATGGTGCTGTCATGTACTTTTGCTTCTTTTTCAGGGCAAAGATGCTGAACAGCAGAGGAAGCTCTTCATAGGTGGACTGGACTACCGTACCACCGACGACAGCCTAAAGGCATTCTATGAACAATGGGGCTCAATTGTGGATGTTATTGTCATGAAAGATCCGAGAACAAAGAGGTACAGCATGCCTAATTAAGAAACATGCAGTGTGTATGTAATGTTAGGGGCATGTTTTCATGCCTGTTGTAAATCCAAATGTGGGGTTTTTCTTTATGCCCTTATATCCTTGGTGTTTCCATTTTGGAAAGGGTCACCAAAGACATGAGGTGGCATGTGTCTCAAAATTGTTGAAAAAGTCATGAACCTTGTTCTCATAGATCATATTTTCAGGTGTGTGTCATGTCGCAGTGAAAAGCTTGATCAGGAAGTTTTGGTCAGTAACTTTAATGAAGGCGGGGTCAACACCCGCCGTCTGGCTGGACCCCACACTGGTGCATACACTCACCTCACCCAACCCTCTGCTTTTATGTACAGCACTTATACTCCTTTTACCCCCACTCTTGCATAGTGGACAGCAAATCAGCCAGAAACATTGTTGCTTGGCTCTGGAAAGCTGGCCCATGCTAGAGTGTCCGTAATGGCTCATGTTAGCTTCATAACTGAAGGCATTAAAATGAAGGGGAACTGCCAAAAGGTACCAAATAAATATGGACATTGAATCACTTGTCGACTTTTCTGTGTGCATAAGAGCACTTCACAAGACTGAATTTTTTAGATCCTGTCCAGCCCAACTAGCCTAGTCTGGGTCCACTTTTCTAACCTGTCAATACACTTTTCTCAGATTTCTCAACCCATTTTAGTCAGGGTGCTGGTGATGTAGTGGTTTCCGCGTCTGCGTTAGTTGCTGTGCATCTGGGAAACCAGTGTTACAGGGTTTGATTTCCAATGGTGCCCACCCTTCCTGCCAGGGTGAGAGGCAGGCAACACCATATAGCCTCAGCAGCTGAGTGTGTCATAAAGCCCCAATGACACACAGCATTCCAGTCTGGTCTACCTTATCAAAAAAAAGGAATGAATATGTCAATATGGTTCCACATTATTTATGTTTTATATTTTAACAGTAAGTTTGGCTAATCTCAGTATCTGAAAGTTAAGAATTGGGTTGATTTGTTTGGGAAATGTGTACAAAAAATTGCTGTAAACCAGTGATTGCTAGCATGCTCAACACAGATAGTTGCTGGTTAGAAATGCAATGTTCCATGAACAAAAAGTTTTTTGTTTCAGATTAAACAAGCTACATTTTTATTGTCAGGAACAAGAAACATTTTGGTTTCAGAACAAACAATTCATCATACCACTGGTCATGTCACAATTATTTTGGCAAATAATTTTGCTGTAATTTTGGCAAAAGTACCACTCCAAAGCTGCTTCTGGTTTCAATATCCTTAAAGTATGGGTATGCCATCTGACCTTTTTAGCAGCACCCAGTTCACAGGCATAGGATGATGCTCACCTGGTAATCCTTCTGTAAAACTAAAGTGACCTCTCACATCATATATGATATTTCAGGTGTGTATCCATTCTCAGGACCCATCAGCCAGTGAAACAACCTCACCTGCAACCATTATTTCATTGGTTAGATTAATGCCTGTGTGAGCATTACAATCCACAGGTACTACTGTTGACTGCTCTTGTCACTTGCTCGTTCTTTCAGAGAAATGCAGGTTATGCCTTTTGTGAATCTTTGTGCGAAAATGCCAGATCCAACCACATTTTCCTCTTGTTCATACTGGAAAAATACAAAAACTTCTTCTATTTGTACTTGTGCATTGCACAGCTGCATGAATAAAAAAGACAGTTTTCCGTGCATGCAGAGTAATATGTGGCTATCCATCATTTTGTTTTGGACACCTTAAGAAAGCTATGATGAATACATAATTACATGGCACAACATTTTAGTCACCATGTAACTCATGTCATGCACTAGGATTGCTTAAGACACAAATCCTCCCACATTCCAAGAATCCTCCCACATTCACAAACAGTGGTGCAAGTCTGTTACCTGTAACCCATCATCCAAGATCTGTTATGACTGGTGGCACTTTGGCATCTCATATAACAATAGCCACCTGCCAGTGGCTCGCATGATCACACAAGCTACTCCAAATCTTTGTTTTGAGTATGAAACTTGGTAAGCAAATAATTTTGAGCATGCAAATGAAACAAATAATAGTCTATTCCAGCAGGCAACTGAAAATGGATCAGTTGTACTAGCGCACTTAAGTTAAAGCTGGTGCTAAACTCCAATTTGGCGGAATAGGTGGGCGGAAACTATGCTGTTACATGAAGTTGTCTTTTTTCTAATTTTCTCAGGCAGGTGCTTGTATTTCCAAACTGGTTTGCATTCCACTAACAAAACTTGCTCCCGTCCTGTTTTTCAACTCAGAAATGCAGCGCCATCTTGTGTTAAATGGGATTTCTGACAGTCAGGAAAAATGGTAGCTATGTAACAAAAAGATGGAGTGTTAGATCATCACATATTGGAGTTACTTGAAAGAAGTGGAACACTATTTCCCCATGCCAGCATACACAAACTGTTAATCAGAAAATGTTTGCGGAATATGTGGCTGAGTTGCGTTTTATGTAGCCTGTTTGTACATTGCTTGGAATTGAAAAGACTGTCTTTTGAGTCAATGTCTTTATGAGCATTTCAGGAACTGGTTAGTGATAATTCCCACTTGATCAGTTCTCAATCCATGGATTGTGTCAGTTGGTAAATTTGAAAATCTGGTTGGGTCCTATCCATATTTTGTGGAATTATCTGATTTGATCCAATCTGACCTGTAGATTGATCCACAGCCTGTGGATGGGTCTAGTCCGTGAAGTGCTTGTAGGGTACATATTAGATTTAAACAAATTTTTTGTTGGGCTCAGTTGCTCCCTATATCGTGATTTGTTCCTCTGTTTGCCAAAATGTTCTTTGTTATAGGCCCCAGCGCGATGTTTTTGTTTGTAGGTCCCGCGGCTTCGGTTTCGTCACGTATGCCGAGCCAGCCATGGTCGATGAGGCGATGGAGAACAGGCCTCATGTGGTCGATGGAAGGGAAGTTGAGGCCAAACGGGCTGTACCACGTGAAGATGTTGGCAAGTCGGCCAACAATGTCACCGTCAAGAAAATCTTCATTGGTGGCATTAAGGATGACGTCCAGGAGGACGATCTGCGCAAGTACTTTGGGGTTAGTGGCTCTGGTATCTCACCATCCCGCAATCAGCATGCCTCATGTTTTTATGATGATTTTTAAACACTAGAACTTTGCTATGCTATTCAAACACTAGAGTCCATGTGCAACCACAAGATAAATGTTTGATTCCAATGTTTTGTGCAAAACGTAGTAGGCCACGGTTATATATGCCATAATCCTTTTTATGCCCATATTTTTACTGAATAGAATCCATGTCTGTCCATTTTTTGCCAGTGTTTGAGGCACCGGCACAGAATCAGAAGTTTGAATGCAAGTTTTTATCAGTAAAACTTTTTTTTTGCGCCATGCCGACTTTTTTTGCGCCATGCCGACGGGCGACAAGTGAGCCATCTGTCCACAGACAAGGTGTCATTGCTTGTCTTTATCATTTTTTTTCTATTGCAGGATTACGGCCAAATTGCTTCTGTTAATGTACCATTTGACAAGATCACTGGCAAGATGCGTGGATTTGCCTTCATTGAGTTTCAGGATTATGACTCTGTGGATAAGATTGTCTGTAAGTATCCTGTTTCATTCTCAGCCTAATATGTAGTAGAGGCTCAGGGTGAAGCTTAATTAGCAAACCAGTGGGCATGTTTTGTTTTAGTTGGGCTGTTTGCCGCACGCCCTAGGTGACGCGCAGCTGTGGGTAGAATTGGCGACGGTGGGGGACCACGAGACATGATCTGTTGTCATTTGTGGCTTTTGTCCAATTGATGCTGCCAAGCTGTATTCGCGAAGCTCAATAACTAATCAAGTAGCTTTTACAGCACCGTTCGGCGTGACCGAAAGTTCCGGTTGCATTATCAGTTTCTGCCAAACTGACATTTGAGACCCCACGCACCAAGCTTCGTGCGTCGCGGTTTTAATGGCGATCTGTGCTGTTTTCAGTGAAGAAAAACCACGAGGTGAATGGCAAGTTCATAGACGTGAAGAAAGCCCTGAGTAAGGCCGAGATGGCTGACATGGGAGGTGGTGGCTTTGGAGGCCGTGGCGGTGGCCGTGGCGGCGGCGTCGGCGGATTCCGCGGAGGTCGCGACGGTGGCGGCGGCGGTCGGGCCGGCCCCTGGGGTGAGGGTGGCCGCTCTGGCGGCGGCGGCCGTTGGGGCGGCGGTGGCGGCGGCGGCGGCTATGGACATCAGCAGCCGTGGGACAATGGCAGCCAGTGGAGTCAGGGTCATGGTGGTTACGGCGGCGGCGGCGGCGGCGGCAGTGGTGGTTACCACAGTGGTGGCTATAATCAGGGTGGAGGCTATGGTCAGCAAGGCGGCAGCTATGGCCAGCAGAGCAGCGGATATGGTCACCAGGGCGGAGGGTACGGCCAGCAAAACGGCAGCTACGGTCAGCAAGGTGGCTACAGCCAGGGGGGCTACGGACAGCAGAGTGGAGGAGGAGGTGGAGGTTATGACTATAATGGAGGTAAGAGCCTGATGCATCACAGCAAAAATCACATAACCAAGGTCCCCTCACTAGACATATGCACCACCATGAGCTTTATGCTACATTCGACATTAGTCTTTAGCAAAATGTCTGTAGTTATTGATGATTAGATCTAGTGGTACCTCATCGCGATGCTTTGTCGTTTTCAGATTGTGGAGATCACAGTGTTGCTTACCCTGGCTTACTCACGCTTGTGCATTTTCGTACCTGTATGGTGGTGGCCATGTATGCCCGCATACTATGTAGGAGGATGTCACTCTGTGATCGTGTGTATGAAAGCTGAGTCGGTGCACCTAAACCCTCAGATCGTCATTGACGGACATTTTAATCGTGGTATATGAGACTGGAAGTGAATAATTTTCGTTCACCTTGTTGCAGGTGGCCAAAGCAGCTGGAGTGGCGGCCAAGCTGCGTCTGGCGGGGGAGGCGGCAATCTGGGCAGTTACAACAACCAGTCATATGGAGGAGGCGGCCCAGTCCGCGCATACAGCCAGTCGGCCCGGTCTGCGCCGTACAGCTCCCAGCGCGGAGGTAAATCCATACTGATGTTAACGTGGGCGCACTGGTATTACTGTTTCTCCGCATTTCTTTCTAGCGCAGCTTAAGCATTTCACCATCGGTACACCGTCAATGACAATAACATTGGTTTGGTGTAGTCACCACAGACAGCTCTAGGCACTCCTACATAGTTTCAGTCCGTAAACTGGCCATCTTAGTTTCGTCAGAAGCTGTAGGGTTATGAAAGAGTAAGTTGGATATTTCATAGCTTGGCATATTGAAAATGCTTCAGGCCAGTTTAGCCTTGCTTGAACAGTGCAACAGTTAATGGTAATGCAATGGCCAGTAGGACATCCTGAAAAGAACTGGAAACGACGTTCCTGGATAAGTTCAAGTAGTAATGCGCCATCTATATCGCGATGGAACCCGCGGCTGTATATGTTAAAGGACTCGCAATATGACGCTCGTAATCAATGCGTGGTACCGTAAATGGTTTACGCAGCTAGTTACGTATTGTGGGCTACGAACTGTTACCACTGTGCTCCGTTCTATAAATGCCACTATTTATTATGTTGCCGCCTCATGTCAGACACCCGACATTTATGACCACTCCTGGAGGCAAAAGTTCCGTCAATCGCGTACGGGATGGGCCATGATGCGGTGTTAATTTGCTGTATTATCTGTCATGGTGTCCGCCAAGGCAGTATTGAATTAAAGGACAAGGGCAAAGACATCTTAAAATAAAAAGAGCATTAAATTTACGTAAGCAAATCGGCAAGGCTTTCAAAATGTGCGACATCCGCAATTATCTGCCATAACTGTTTCAAATAGCACCAATCTCGTGTTCGCTTCTTAGTGGCTGCACGTGGTCAGGCCCGACATGAGCCTCTCCCTCCCCTCCGTTTACGACGAACACTTGCACAAGAGTCAAAATTTCTCCCAATAGGGATGTCAGTGGTGTAAATGTAACGTCATGCTCCCAGACTCCTGGCTGTTACGATGCTTCTGCTTCTGCCCGCGCAACGTTTCGGTGGCTACTAAGCCGTTGCCCTTTAACCCCGAATTTCGACTTTCTGGCTTGTCTGCCCGATTAGTCAAGTCCAATGCGCCGAGGTAGTTACCCGGTTTACATGGGCAGCCGAGGATAATTCGAATTAAGATCGGAACGGATCATGCGACGTTTACCCGGTTTACATGGGCAGCCGAGGATAATTCGAATTAAGATCGGAACGGATCATGCGACGTTAACCCTCCCGGCGAGGGGCGTTTACATGAGCGAAACCGGCTTTACGTCGGATTAACGGTCGATAGTTCGATCCCGCTGAGTTCGAATCAAGGAACGGATTATGGGCGAAAACTGCGCTTTTGAGGCGAACTGAACAAAACAAGAAGAAAAAAAGCCGATATGCTGCGTATGGATGGCGAATGTCACGGGCCACGGTGGGCGCGAGACAGCTTTGAGGGCGAGGAGGAAGTTGGACTCCGTTGGAAAAATGATCTGTGCGGGACTCATAGGCTTTATAGCTACAGCACAAGCCATAGCACTTGAAACACAAGAGTTGCACAGTCAGCACTGCCAAATCTGTCACATAAGCAGTGTTATATGCAAATTTTTACTAGCGGGAAAATTTGGCTAGCAGGAAATCAGTATTTTTTTGTATTGGCCAATGACACTCACAAACTTACCACACTCGTATCAGTATGCCACCCAGCATCATGTCATCTACTTTGCGCAGCCCAAGAAACACATTACCTACTCCCACACTAATGCATTTATGAGCAGCCTGCAACAGTGAGCTAAGCTACAGAAATGACTCATGAATGCTACATACTTAGTGGCAAAAATTGTGTATCTATGTTGTCTTTCCCCATCCAATGCATCATCAGTACCTGAGGGCAGCATTGCCATTTAGACTTGGCATGGACTGGCAAGTCAGAATGCAGCTATTTGCTTTCTTGACATACTAGGGTTGAAATACTGCTTTGATATCCTTGCAGTCAACAGCAATGGCTGATATGGACTGATGGCTAGGTGGCACAAACAGCTGTGTTCGCACAGTCCAAAGATCATAACATGTGAACCAGCCCTAGAGCTGTCATGACAAAAGCAATCTGGGCTCAAAATTCATAACAAATGATTAATTATAACAACAGCTCAATTATCCACCTCATGGTTTGCAAAGATACATGTCACACAAAAGCACCAAGGTAGCATATTTACTCACCAGTAAAAAAAAACAGGTAATGATGTGCGCCACAGATGTTCTCTGCACATCATGTGGCATTAGGTTAGGTTTACGTAATTTATGCACTGTTTTCTTCCACATGAAATGCACAAACCGGGATTTGACAGAGTACTGATAACAGCTATTTTCATCCAGGGCTCACATTTGCTTTCTTGACATTTTGGAACCATCACTGGGCAATTTTGGTCCCATCATTAAAAAAAGTTCACATTCCGCGCTGACTGCAACGATCTACTGCCTATATTTATTGATCCTTTGCATCATGCAGGAATTATTGAGCTACCTATCTCACACACATTAAACCGGCAAGCAACAAACAGCCTAATTGCATCAAAAACAAATTTTCCAGCCCCCGCATCCTTGCCAGTTTGTCTACCAGTGTGACGTGACTTCATATTTCCTTGACGAGCCAGTCACCAATATCCAGCACATCCCTCCTGCCAATAGGTGGTCAACCGAATGTTCCAGTCACAGGAGGAATGTCTGCAAAATCAATCCTGGGGCATTTACGTATTCACTTAATGAAAGAAACTATTGGTACTCCCTGCAAGAATTGTTGAACAGTTGAATTACCTACCTCATGGCCTGCAAAGACACCCATCACAAGGTGAGGGTGTTTAGCTGGTGGAGCACCAAGGTGACATGTTTAATCACCAGTACAAAAACAGGTGATGATGTGCAACACAGACATGTTCTCCATGCAGCATGTGCCATCGTGCTAGGTGTTAGTTTATGCACTGTTTTCCTGCACATGGAACACACAAACTTGAATTTAGCAGAGTAATGATGACAACTATTTTCATCCAGTGTTCACATTTGCTTTCTTGCTGTTTTGACCCCGTCATTGGGCAATTTCGGTCCTACCATTAAAAAAGTTCACATTCCGAGCTGACTGCAATGATCTATATTTGTTCATCTGTCATATCATGCAGCAATTTTTAAGCTACTTTTCTCACAAATTAAACTGACAAGCAGCCAGCATCCTAATTTAAGGAACATCTGCAAAAACACTCCTGGGGCCTTTAGGTATTAACTTAATGAAAGAAACTTGGAGGCACTCTGCAAGAATTTTGAGCAATCCAAAAATTAAAGTGAGAACAAGTCAAAGCTATATAAAATGACCATATTACCTCCTTCTGGCGTTTGGAAGCATGGAGCCTGCCCCAGATGTAAATTAATCTAACCTTTAGGCGGAAAGATAACACCAAGCACCGCCGACGCCTGCCGTCTGCATAGATCAAGCGCCTAACAAGGTTAAATTACGTGAGCATTTCTGTGCTGCTAGCCACTCAAGGCCCTCAATAATAAGAGTAGTTTTAGCAGCATGGTGTCAACTTCACCTTCTTTCTCTTTTCCTTTACCATCTTGGACTTGAACCGTCTCGAGCAATAGCTACAAACCCGTGGAAAAGCGGCAACACCAAACAAAGCTGAAATGGCCATGAACAGAACTGCGTGCGTCAGGCATTTTTCTTTCTTTTTTTTTTGTTTAGCCAGCTGACGGCCGATAATTCGGACGAAATCCCTTCCTGAACGGATGATCCTCTCACGGGGAGGGATTTCCTCCGGCGCACGATTCGAATCAGCGAAACGGCGCGTGAGTGTATACATGGGCCGGATAGTTCGGATCGAGGACGGGTCTCGGCTCAATTCGAATCACAGCTGCCCATGTAAACAAGGTAGCTGAGCGGACCGCCGTCCGGCACGTTGCGGATGTGGTCATTACTGAGGGAGGGGAACAGTGAGCCCCGTTTCGGGTTTCAGTAGCATGGCATATTGTAGACATCCTTGTCACTCCCAGGTTCGTAAACTTTGGGTGACGGTGGCTACATCGTGAGAGCGTGGTTCATTTTGGGGCGGACTGCGCTAGATCCGTGACCGAATGAGCGACTATGTGTGGAGGTCGCGGGTAGCACACGTCTGATGTTTCTGTTTGTATTTCAGGTGGAGGTTACAACAAGTTCTAAGCCTGGTTCTTCTCACTCGGCCCTTATGTGTAAGTCCAAACGCGTCGACCATTGGTATGATGGTTGCTGCGCATGTACCATGAAGGCATTCTCGGACCTCCCTGCCCTCTGAAACATAAAATGTAGGGTCATTTCACATATTGTGTGAGATGTGTTCAATTTATTATGTTTTGTGTGCATGAGCCGCACTTTGAAACTTGTGCTTAGAAGGCTCACGTTCCGGTACACGTTCGCACTCTCGACCGTCATGCTCCGTATCGCTGTGTAACGCCTGCGCCCTGTCTGTTTTAGGCGAGTTTTAGTTTTGCGTAGGTTGGCTGGTCGGACTATGAACCCTAGGTAGGGCTGCGTAAGGGAGACCGAGAAGTGCTCGCAATCCACCTCTCCGAAAGGCGGACGATGTGCTTGATGCTCGCCGTCAAGGTGAACGCCACGGGACCTACGGTCTTGGCACACATTCCGTGCGCTCAGCCAGTCTTAAAACGCGAGTGGGATCGCGCCCCCAACGCGCGCGTTTGTGTACAATGTCACGGACACTCGCGCGCACCTAACCGTATGGAGCGCCGCTGTGACGCGGTTTACGAGCCGCTGTGCCCGTGTCACCGCCACACGGACGCCGCATCTGACCCTTGAGGCGAGCTTGCGGCACGCCCTCCTCGGCGGCCGCGTGTACCGCTGGTCATCGTCGTCGATGAGGTGGATGCTGGATGCTAGCCGAGGAACGGGCCACCTCATCCGCTCGCAGACACATGCATTCATCTTGTACAAATGATAAATAAATCCACTCAGAACTGTCCGTATACTTCTGGAATGGTGTCCGCAATCCGTGTGAATTTGGTATGGCTGTTCAGATGTACCAGGCAGGAACGGGCTAGTCCAGCTAGGGCTAGTGGAAGGCTCTGTAGAAGATATCATCTGTAATAGGCTGAAGCAGGACATCATAGAACAGGCAGGCAGCTTCTAGGAGGAATAAGTTCTTCTAGACATGTGTCGGTAGGCTGGGTAGGTGGACGAACTGTTTTTTGTTTTTTGTTATGTTCCTTGTGCCTTCCGCACCGGTGGTCCCGACGAAGAACGCCATGCTCCAATGTTGTCGGCTTGGTAATGATTTGACCACAGTGATGCATTGGCGGTGATTTGGCTTTATAGTGTAGTGCGTCATGGTGTAAATCCTAGAGACCGCAAACCCTGTCTGGGGCATCCCACAACAGATCGACCGGTGCCCATCGCCTTTCTCTCAGGATTCCACAAGTCGTTCTCGGGTTATCTGATGCCTTGGATATATCTGTAAAATTTATTACAATTATTGGGCTTGTAGTTAGGCTTGCTCGCAGCAACGGCCATCGAACTGTGACGTCGACACCTCGTCCAGGTCACACTGCATGACTCCCTTCACTAGTCTGTATGTCGTAGGAAACTGCCGAAGTAGTACACAGCCGTGGACACAAATTAATTTAAACCATTTGTTACTTCCGCACCTGTCTTTATCGTGTTTGCTGTTTTTGAACTCGCAACCTAAGATCATTTAATGTGGTACGTACCAAGGGCAGTAAGAATGTGCGACTTTCAGTGCAATTATTTACAATATTGTACAATTATTGTGCGAAATTATTGTACAGTATTCATGTGACAGAACCCTGGGTGGGCTGCTTCTAAAAAGTTTAATCGCAGTGTGACCACGACCTGCTTTTGAGTGCCCACCACTGGGTGACCGGTGCCATACAACATGAGCATGAGGGCGTTCCTTTTTCCACCAAGCACCCAGTTTTAAATCTGCGAGCAAAATAAGCCAACAACCGTGGACATTTGTGCAATTTGGATGTACTGAATGGTGTGGCCTGTGGGCAGCACCGAACAATCTGATTGGCAAAATAAAAAACGTGTATGCTTAATCAGCACTCAGAAAGATGCAGCTCAAACCTGACGTTTCACTTTATCATTCCTCATTTTGATACTGTAGTCTCATGCGACCCACTAGCTGGCAGCGATTCATGGAGGGCTCCTTTCGCCAATTCATGACTTAGTCGCTGATCGGTTTGGACTATGGCCTTAAATGCAACATGTGCGTCTGACAACTTGCCACTTGGCCTGACAACGCAAGCCAGCACCGTGGGCAATGTAGTGTGATACATCCACTTATATATAGTCTTCAAGATAATCTTGTATCCAGCTTGAGAAACTGATCTTGACAAGAGAAGTCGAAAACCTGAAGTGGGAAAATGGGCTGTAAGAGTTTTAACTAGCCCATGATGGATGCTCATACGTAATTGGTTCATTGCTATTTTTCCATTCAAGTTGTTTTGCCTCGTCCTTACTATTTGCCTGAATGGAGTGATTGCCTCCGTTCTTTCACAAATGCGGATTTTGTCATTTCATGTGAAATACCACGTTGTTATGGGATCTTTGAGCACGTAATGCAAGGGACAGATGGAAGAAAGCGGCACAATATTCCCGTTATGACACATTCCAAAAAGGTCACGACCGTGCTTTGAAGTTGGTGTTAGCAGGAGCCCATGTAATTTCTCCTCATCGAACGATATTTGGGATAGTCTGTCCTAAGCTGAAACAGTAGTGTGATGGCCGGCGGACTGCACGTAGAGTATGCTACGTTGCGCTGTATATAAAGGCGCGTGGCTCAAGCTCAAACCCATCAAAGGTTGTAAATGCCCACCGCTTCATTGCAAGTTCGAGCTGGTAATTTCGTAATATCATTGGTTTCGTACGGGGCATATATAGGGCAGCACCGATATCCACGAAGCTTACGAATGTGCCTGTTACTGAATGTCTTGAAGCCTCTAGACATGTAACTGAGGCAGTAAGTTCGTTGGTACTATTGAGTGATGTCACCTTCACGCCACCATAATTTGTTGCTGAAAGCGAGCCTCATTGGCGAAGTACTTGGCATGACCGATTTCGTAAACCGCGAGCTTGATGGGTGAAATGTTCCCCATGCGCCGTGGGCTTCACGGTTTGAGGTTGCGCATCGCCAGGTTATTTGGCATTTGGCACGTGGCTATCAGTCGGTTAGCGCTACTTTTACCAACATGGCAATTATACAGCTGGATTCAGAGCATCAGATAAACCGATGGACGCATATTGGTCCAAATATGAGACGACTATGGCTGCCCTGTTGTCGGTCCGTGTGTGGGTTTGTCAGTCGCGGTTCTTAGGTACGATGAAAGCATGTTCATACTGCACGCATGTTGCCTGGCGTTGGAAGCGGTTAGTCCACGTGGCGGAGAACGACATTATGAGTGGCACTTTGTACAGTTTGCAAAAAACAATGTGGCCGAACCGCTTCCATGCCCGGATTATCTGGGCTACTTTGCGTGGCTAATTCTGTCATGTTTGCAGGTCATCCCGACGTTGCTGTTGGGCACGGAGTGCAGCCAACATGAAGACGACGTTCTTGGGCTGCCCGTGAATGGTCCGGGCAATCTGTGATACATCAAGTACAATGAATCGACACTCGTTCTGTGATATCTTGCCAAACATAGTCTTTTGAGTTTGTAGGATGTTATCGATTTTTTAGGTGACTCCAGTTGACACACCCGTCCTGGTGAGAATATATGTCATTGTCAGGTAATCGTGGCGCTCTGCGCCACTACAGTAATGAAAAGTGCCGCGGTCGGTGGTGATCGTGGGAACCAGAGCAGTTGGAGACATGAGTAAAATATTGCGTAAGACTGCCCGAGAGTGTACATTCAAGTCGAAGCGAACGACCCGACGTTGTCCGATCCAGCTCTGAGTTTCTCCCGCGAAGTTGTGCCACGGTGCGTCCATTCCAATTCATTATCGCCCCTTTATGGCGTATGGCATGTGATAAAAGAGTTATCTGATCAGCACCGAGCCCGGTTTATTTGCGGCGAGGCCGAGCCTCACTATTGTTGTTTCCTTCGCTTCGAAGGACCTCCCGTCCGTCACGATAGCTCAGTTTAGCTGAATGCGTTCCGATTCACTCACCCGTGGCGGGATGGGTGAATTGAGTCGACTTGGCGCTCGCAATATCCTTTGTTGTTGTTGATTGGAGTTGTAGGGCGCGCCGACTACTGCAATATCCTTTACTGGCGTGGCTTGCAGTCGGTGCCAGTGGCCGCGCTAAAGGAGAGGATGGCGTCAGAGGGCAGGACGGGCCGTGACTACTACTGTGAAGCTTTCGACAATGGAGCTATCAGAGGAAGGCTGGCGGGATCGGCTGGGTGCTGATTCCATAGATCGGCTGGGTGCTGATTTCATAGATCGGCTGGGTGCTGATTCCATAGATCGGCTGGGTGCTGATTCCATAGATCGGCTGGGTGCTGATTCCATAGATCGGCTGGGTGCTGATTCCATAGATTGGCTGGGTGCTGATTCCATAGATCGGCTGGGTGCTGATTCCATAGATCGGCTGGGTGCTGATTCCATAAATTCATCCAATCGCAAGGGCCGGACCAACTGGTGAAAACAACATGTTTGGCCTTCCCCTCTCCCTACAATGCGAACGCGTCTTAAAAGCCGTAAAGGCAGGAAACGGAAGCAGACTGCAATGCTTCATTTTCCTGCCCAATGACAGTGTGGTTGCTGTCTTTTTGTAGTCGGAATATCCTTCTTGCCAGCTTGCATGACGATTTTCCATTTGCCACTCTCGTGGGGGAATGTTACCGTCATATGCAATCCCGGTTTCGTAACCCTCAATCGCAGTTTTTTTAAACTTCAAAGCTTTTAAGCCTTTGCACCAGATATGGCTGACTTAAAACTGACACACAGGGCTTTGCAGCATAGCGTTGCGTACATGGCGCCAGCTGTCTTGCCTGATAATCAACTATTGCTTTAGTTGTCGGCGTCCTTCTGTACCGGCCAGTCGGTTATGGATGGTAGATGAAAGACAGGAGTTTAAGGCAAAGGTTCAACGTCAGAGAAACGAAGTACCATCGTTGCCGTTTTTACGCAGTCAAAAAGGGTTGCGGGTTCTGTTACACTCTGCCTTCTTCGGCTGTCGTGCAGCCATCAATCTAGCATCCGGATGCAATCAGTGGTGTCCCGTAATTACTGACTGTAATTAACTTCACGCTTAAATGCGGGATTTCCACCATCCGGCGGCTGCTTCTTGGCTGGTGAGTCGGACTGGTCTACGCTGAGAGTTGACGTCGAGCTGTGCGCTGTGACTCACCAGGTGCAAAATCGAAGGTCCAGTTCAGTCCTGGCTCGCTGCTCTATCCGTCGTCAGCAATATGACTCGATGTTGATATCGATATGTAGATAAAGCAGGTTTGTGGTTTGAACGAGTGGGTGGCGGACTACCTTCTACTGATACAGAACGAGGTATAGGAATATAGGATGTTTGTACCGTGGACTCCCGTCGGTTGCTGGCTGATATTTGGCGAACCAGATCAGGATCACCAAAATTGTGCTTGCTGGACTGAAATTACAATAACGAACTTAGCGCTGATTTTGGAAAAGGCGTAACAAATGCCACATGCCGTTCATTTTAACACTAAAATAACGATCGATTTGAGCGTGCTGTTTTCTCATGTTACTATTTTAATTTAAGCCATATTTTACACAGCAGCGGTTTGCGATTTAGCTCGTGGGATTTACGAAAAACGTGATTCAGCTCATCGCTCAAGCAGCATTTTTGTAAGGAACCCCCTCAGGTCACGACTTTTCACGAAATGGTCGGCTCTTGAGCCAGCTTACGCTTCAGCTACAGTCGGACACAACTCTGGCCAACTCACTCAAATCCACGCTGCCCTGGTTTGGAACACTGGTGTAAGTTTGTAGGGTCTCCCCGCAACGGGCTATGGACCGTCATGAAGCCAGTTCAGTTCAGAACGCATGCAGACACGCGCCAGTACGCAGAAATTGGCAGTGTATGTGCATGAGAGTACGCCAGAGCGCGCCTGTGTTCAGAACCTCAAACGCTGCGACTCTGAACAGAAATTATGAGTTTAGAGCAATGTGCATTGGGACTCGCAAATGTGGTGACCCCGAAGAGCAGAGCGGGAGGCAGTTCCGAATTAACAGTTGGTACCGTAAGATAGCTTTCATTGCACAATGTACGGAAGTACCTAACCGCAATACGCGGCCGTCTTGCGGCATCACTGGTTTCAGGGACATAATCTGCCAGGCCGCGTCGTCGTCGTAGCCCCTCGGTTAGTGGACTAAGGCGTGGACAGGCTATAATCTCATTCAGCTATCCTGAGGGATATCCGGCCCGGCTGTGCCGACAGTTTATGAAAAACCCAGACTGATCTCGTGTATGTGCGCGGCGACTAAAGATGACCCAAGTAGTAACTAGACATACGCTTTCTAGCTCCTCTAGTCAATGGTCTGTCATGCCCGCGGAGATGGGTTTGTTTATTCATTTCAGGAACAAACAACACTTCGTAATTCACAACGGCGAACAAATTACGAGATCAAGAACGGCGGCCTGAACGGAACGCCCAATCCTGATAACAACAGCCCGCATCAATTCACATAACCCAGTTGGTCTATTTGCTCGTAGAGTTCTGGGATCTCGATAGATAATTTGAACAAGTTATCGAGTTGAAATTTTCATGCACTAAGCGCGCCCTTAAGTCCCAATCATATGATGAAAAAACGTCCACCGTTGCTGCGCGGAGCCCGGGCCCCCGCGCTGGTGCGGATATCACTTCCAGGAAATCCGATGCCTCCTCACAACGCGTTCCCAAGCAGGGTGGCATCCTGTGCAATGGCATCCAGCCAGCCAGCCGCCCCTATGTGCGTGACAACATGGAGTAAGTGGTGGAGTGCTGACAAACCCAACGCAAACAAACCCCAGCCACATGACTAAAACACTCGCTTGGACACCTGCCAAATGGCAACAAAACAACTGGATGTTTTTCGCATGCATGCCCAAAGGAACCGCGCTGACGCGCTGCCATTTAAGTTGGTGGGCAGTTGCCGGCTGTCGATATGAACGTCGTAGCGCGGCTTACAGTTTGGTTAATCACTTATCCTGGCAAGAATGTCGGGTGTCGGGGAGTCGGCAATCGCTGACCCACGATGGACACGACACAGCAGACTAACTCCGAAGACAAGTGAACTGCGGTGCGCAATACACTCTATTCTAATTTCTGTTCATTGAAAATACACTCTTACTCACACAGCACACGTGCGATGCTTGTGGGCCGGACGGGCGTGGCAGCACGTCCCCGCGCCCGCTAATGGCACGCTTCACGAGAAGCATCACAACCAGGCTGAGCCGCCCCGAACCGCGCCCGGAGCGCTCGCGCCGAGCACGCACGCCACGGTGAGGACGCGCCCCGCTCACTGCCACAGCGGCGACCGAGCGGCGCCTCAGAGTTTGCACAGGCAGAACAGGACGGGTATGAAGGCGCCAATTGCCACGAACACTGGCAGCATAGTGGATGACTCGTCGCTGGAGTAGGGGTCGGGCGTGCGCGGGCCGCTGGGCCGGCTGGACGACTTGGATGGCCTTGGTGGGGTGGGCTCCTCGGCCAGCGGCTCATCCTCAGCGGTCGGACCAGCGCCGACGTCCGGCAGCGGCGGTAGCAGCGGCACCTCTGCGAGTGAACATAATATCGGCTATCATACGGTCAGCGCACGAAAATACGACGCGTCGCTGGTGGCAGGCAGGGGCGAATGACTATATAGTTTGGTTGGTGCTGTAGCCTTAGCAACGTGCAACTAAACCCCTCCCCGACTTGGCAGGTCAGCTCCTCCAAAAATCACGTCGTCACATGGAAACGCAGAGCAGCACATTGCCATCCACATTTAGAGCTCTCAGACGCGACAGGTCTGCCGCCGCCGCCAGTCGTTCTCGGGTCACCGTCTGCCGACACCAACACTGGTCGCTCTCGCCTCCGGGCTTTCAGCACAGCCGCCGATCTTTCTCGGATCCATGCTCCCAGTCGATACTGGCCCCTCATACACATACAGCGCCGCCGCTGGCCCAATCACAGTGCAGGCCCAAGTCGCAACACTCATTCTATCGAGACACGTTTGACTGCCGAAACAAGGAGGCAGTTTTGCATCACTTGGGGGCGCCTCAACCCAGGGCCGATGCGCTGGGCCCCCACAAGATGTTGCCCTGGATTTAAGCCTTTTTGCCATTTAGACCAAATGACGCCCATCAGCTAAAAATTGGGCTGTCCTGTCTGTTTTATTTTGACGTCTTACTCAGCACCCACGGACTGACCCGCCGCTGGTTGCACATAGCTTCGTGGCTCGTGCTTTTCGTTCCTGAGTTTGAAGCTAAAGACCATAACTTCTGGGCCCCAACTATGCAATGGCCTGAGAGAAAGACGACTTGCGAAGCGTGGACAAAAGGCAAGAGACATTGAGATCATACATTAACAAGAAATATAAGTATACCCCGGCTATAGCCTTGAGCTTTTTCAGCACTAGTTTCTTTGCTGCTTGTATTTCTTGGAAGTTAACACGAGCATGATGTCTCAAGGTTGAAAGTGTTCAGCTGCTGCAAGTCGGAAGGTCTGCACCCCTCGAACCGGCTAAGACCCTGCATCCCCGCCACTAGTATTATCCACGTCGGCAGAACAGACGGGGCTGTGGTTTGCCACCGACTGTTGTTCACAAGACCATTAAACAGGAGGGGTCAGCGGGTCGCATGCTGGTCGGCTCCACGGAAGATCGGCCGGGCACTGGGCGGACCACCTCATCTTTCCACAGCGGCGCGCCCTAAAACTCCAGTCATCGTCAATTCATCTTCCAGATGCTGATAACAACCGTTCCACGGCACAGTCTTAGGTGACAAAGCCAGCCGTTAACATTTCCACCCAACATACGCTTCAACCCACCATCCGACGCCCCGCGCACATAAAGTTGCAGTGAATCTTACACGGGTGGTGCTCAGTAAGCTTAGCATTCGTTTGCCGACTTGCGTGTTGATCATGGGTGACCTGCGAATTTCCCGCGCTGCACGAGTGCCTTTCTACGTGAACCGTAGTTTTGCACGTCAAGAACCGTGGCTGCCTGGTGATAGTGCCTTCCTTGAACCGTGCAAGAGCGCATTACGCGTACGACAATACGGTGAAGAGACATCCTTAAAATTAAAAGATTCTAGCCGGAACCTTTTCATTACATGGATTTCTGAGATCAGCGCCAACGCTAGGCGTTGCTTGTTGCGCGAACACTGACCCCACCTTTCGATGGCATGATACCGGGTCAAAACAATGAATTTTTCGGCGAGGGCTCATCGTGCCGCAATGCTCGGCACTTCCCGTCCTGTCCTGACGCCACCTGACATTTAGCGCGACCGCTGCCACCCACGGCAGGCAATCACTGTCAGGGGAACAAAGCGAACGTCAGTGACTGGAACCCAAGCCGCCATGGTTGGATGAATCAGAAGGCAGGCGCCAAAACCAACTGGAGCACTGAGACTCGACTCCATTATCTCCCAATGGAGTTGCTGAAGAGAACGGCAGCTGTCACTGATGCGATCATGTTTGTATGGTCAGCAACCACTCTGTCACTGCATGTTTCACACCATGCATCCCCATACACCAAGGCCGCTACGCGGCCAAGATGTGACCGAAAGCGAAGTGTCAGGCAATTGTGACGCTTGAATTACACATTTATCTCCATGTCATGTGTCATGTCATTGGGGCTTTACGACGCACTCAGCTGCTGAGGCTATATGGCGTCGCCTGCCTCTCACCCTGGCAGGAAGGGCGCGCACCGCGGGGAATCGAACCCCGTACCTCTGGTTTCTCAGACGTGCAGTGCCTGACGCAGACACGTTAACCACTACACTACCGGCACCCCCTTGATTGTTTCCAGAGCGACATTATTTGGGATCAGCTGCAGACGAGGACTGATATGTGCTGATGCCAAAATGACGAGCTGCGTTTGGGTTGTTTAGGTCGTACTGCTGGAAAACTAGTTATTAGCCGAATTTAAAACCAAAGTCGATAAGACAGCAGTAGTAGCCTTACTCCTCGGAGAAAAACCCGGAGAATGGAGATATATTTGGGTTGATATTTCGGCAACATGCATTGCCGAAACAACAGCAGAAGTGAATGCACTGTAACTATTGTTTCGATGAAGGCATGTTGCCGAAATATCAACCCAAATATATCCCCATTCTCCTGGTTTTCCTCCGAGGAATAAGGTTAATACTACTGTTTTATCTATGTCAATAATGTTCATGGTTAATCCACTGAGCAACTTACGTAATTTGTACGCCAAACCAAGTCGGTCAATTAACGCTATCGGGGAAGGGAAAAGGTGTTAGGTACCTATCGGGGGAGGGAGAAGGTGTTAGGTGCCCATCGGGGGAGGGGAAGGTGTTAGGTACCTACCGGGGAGGGAGAGGGTGATAGGTACCTATCGGGGAGGGAGAAGGTGGTAGGTACCTATCGGGGGAGGGAGAAGGTGGTAGGTACCTATCGGGGGAGGGAGGTGTTAGGTACCTATCCCTGACATTGCTACATTGGAAAGGAATAGGAAAAAGAACGAAACGTCATTCGAAAGCCCATGCAAAGCCTAACGAAACTTACGGGATTATTTTGGTGCCCGAGGACGGAAGTCAGATAACCTCGGGCAAAAACGACATTTGCTCCATTTGATCGCGTTTTCGCCGGAGACCACATGAGCTTACCTGGGAGTGAATTTATCAATCAATGATGTTACAAGAACCCAATCTTCCCGTCTTGTATAAACCAGAGGTGTTTGTCACAGCTCAGTGTAGGTGATCGAGGTCACTTGCTGTATTCTCGTAGCATTTCTGACTGACAACAACAGTGGATAGTGCGACAACCGAGTTTAACAAAACGTCAATTTCAGCTTAAGCCTGGGTGGGGGACCTACGTTGACCCAAGTCGCCGTACACTTGCTAGGTAAGAACGCGGTGCTACTCCTAGGAGTGCGCTGGGTTGGAAGTTGAAAAAGACAGTAATAACCATAAGTTGGACCTCAAGGCATGCCACATGCTTTGGACACGTACCTGATCTCAAGGAATGTCAGATCCCAGACGTGCCACACTAATATATCATGGTAGGATATTCGTTATCACTTAGAGATGACAGGCAACGACAGGAACAGCTCCGCTAGCAGGTTTTTAACGGCTGGATAGCGTTATGTTACGGTCAGCTGTGGGTACAAGCCATGCCAATTACTTCAGCCGCTAGTGTGCTGGTTCAGATACAATTTTTGAAAAGACTATTAAGAGGCACCTTTTCGCACCGATCATCACAAAACTGACACATATTTTGGTCACGCTATTGTAATGCTAGCGTGCTGCTACTGGTCTTTTGACTGGATAGAAAGCACTGACCATGCTAACATGTGATAACATAAGTGATCGTATTTCTTTCTTTTCGATTAGCCTTTTCGGCAAACGTTGACCACTCCAATGTTAGAGGATCAAGGAAACTGAACATCATTGGGAAAAAATACATACACCTGGGTTTTTCGACGACAATTAGCCCGCACGGGGACCCCATACGGGCTGTACGCTAGGTGCTCGGACAGCCGTCATCAGTAGGCACCTAAAGGGAATGTTTCACGTTTGAAGATACTGAAGCAAGCATCAGATATGATGAAACAAGCTCACCTCTAACTATTGGTACACTCTTTAAGTGGAAAAGACTGCCCCAGACAGCACAATGCTCTGTTCAGTAAATGTGTTCCCCAACGCGCCACGGGTTGATTACGTCATCGTACCTTGCACAAGATTGATTGAGGGCCAATTGACGGCCGTTTTATCTGGAGATCGCGCTCATCAACCACAGATGCGAATGCCTCGGCAATTGTATTTGCTTGGCCTTCATCGCCGCATGGCTTATGGAACGGCAGGATTGGAATGACGTTATTATGACCCTACGAATGCATAGGTGGCTTAGACATATTCTCCCGATACACCTTTCCCTATTTCCGCGGGCGTGTAGCTCAGAAGCTAGAGGCTTAGGTTTCTTAAAAAGGACAGTATTGTGAACAGCACCGAAAGGTATTCAAGATGGCGATTTCAGTTAAAAGCCCATACAAATGTGGAACATACCTTTAAGCCTAGTCATGGTTAGTGGATGTAGCTCACCCAGAGTAAACGGGACGTTGCGAGAATGCTGTATGGAGCAAAAATATCTATTTGTCGGTTTTGACTATACAAAAACGGCAAAAAGACAGCAACTGTCAGACTCCAGCTTCAAACGGTCGAAATGTCAGTAGGCGTATGTGAGTGACCGCATGGAGTCATAGGGGCAAATGGGACCAAGCAGCACCGGCAATGATGTGCAACGTCTTAAAATGCGGACCTCCACGTCAAGTTATGTCAGTGGCCTACAACTTCTGAGGTAAAGATGCCCCTCGCCGCTGGAGAGGCGATGCTATCGGATGAGGAGCCCACAAATCCGATAAATTACGCCCGTAGAGTAGATGCTGCTATGGACAAAAGCTTGTGGTCTAATTGTGTCAGTAGTCTATGATGACGATATGCCATCAAAGGTCATGAGTGATAGCATTCGGTGAACAAACTGTGGGGACCATAGGAAGACCATATTACAATGCAGTGACACAATACTAGAAGTTCCTCCTCGTTAAGTCTAACATGCTTATACCAAGTCTGGCCCCGATCACCAGCCAGACATGATCTGGCCTTTATTCCTGCAAAGGTCAAAGGGGGGGGGACGGGGGACGGATACCTAACCCGCCGTCAATGCGATATTTAAACGTGACAGCGAGCTCCTATTCTGCACGCCAGAAACTGTATGTCGTCCCCTATGCCTTGCGTATCTCCCGTGTGTATCACCTCCTATGTTTTGCATACCTGCCGCAAGGGCCCAGAACTGCTCCCTGGTACATACGCACTGAATTGCAAACTGCCAGAGACAGGATCACTTTACCGTTTGATGGTACCTAACATTGCTACAAGTATTCTGTCCAATCACTTGAACCAAGTTGTGTTAACGTCATACATGTCCCATTCTATACCTGATGCATGCTAGCCTACTGTAGAATATGTCCTCAATGACAAATGCCCAAATATTGCAGAGGCGGATAGAGATAACGACGGTGCAGGTCCAGCAAAAGGTGCTGGTAGTATATAGCTCAGATTTGAATTTGCGCGATTTCCCAAGGGCTGCTTACTGATAACAATGTGGCCACAATACAACACAGCTCAGATGGTGCACAGTGTCATGTACCATGCCAGGGCCGACACCAGCTACCAGAACACGAGGCGTAATGAATACTACTAATATTTGCATGCGTGTCAACGCTGTACGAAACATGCATTTTGCCGGCCGACATGGTCGATGATGGATACAGGCATCGCAAGATGAAGAAGATAGTCGAACGCTCCTCTTTGCACTGCCCGTCCCCATAAATCGATTGGCTGGGTCGTTCGCCTTCTCACTAACCCACACGTGGCGGGTGGGTTAGAGTCACCTTAGCAGCTCGCTGTTTTCCCTGGCTGGTATTGCCTACGATCGGTGACAGCAGCCATCTTTAAGGTCAGAGGACGTCACCGTGCAGGATGGCCCGTGCCGGGCATTGAGGCAAATTCAGCTTTCGACGCAAAATTATACCGCTGACCAGACTTCATCAAATACATAAAATGGCCAGAGCTCACGCAACAAACATTGCTTACAGTGAACGCTGCTCCAATACATCCGTTGAACGAAAATATTAGGACTACATAAATTGAAAACATGCAACGCTTTCCTATGACATTTGTGCTACATTTAAGCATTGCGATCCTCCATTGCTAAAAGCCCATTTTTGGAAATCCTGAATCTGTCGCTGCTCTAAAAATGTCGTGTATATGTAGATTAGTGATCGTCAGTCTCAACACAGCGATACGAAAGAATGGATGAGATTTTATCGCTATGGTTAAATCCAACAGAAAGCCCAAATCTATTCTCCACTTCTCTCCCGAGTGCGCTGTTGATGTATTTTTTTTCATGACGTAAAAGTCCGTCCAGATCGCAGGTTTTGCTCGAGACCAAGTCCGTCATAGGCAGTCCGATAAATTCGGAGATTTCAGAAGGTAATACAATAAGACCACATGAAATCAAAAGAAAGCTTCAGTGTACCTAACTGTTGTCAGGGGTTAAAAGCCTACGGATTTAGAAAACGGTAAATTTATGCATGCCTCTAAATACCTGAAAAGAAAACATGCACACTGCACTAGTTTAAACCAGGTTTCCAAAAGGATGCAACCATTCATTCCCCATTTGTCGAGTAGTTTCACGGAGGGAGGCCTCCGGTTCAGAGCGCTTGTTACGCAAAACTGGTGAAGTGTGGCCTATTCTTATCACACAGAATAGGGCGATCATCGGTCACATCATCAGCGATTACATAAAAACTTTGCCTCCGGCGCCCTTGCCCGATACAACTGCGGGGTCCTCCCTGTTGTACAACAAGGCCACCCCGGGCCAGATTGATGCTCTGGTCAGCTTCATATCGACCATCCCGTGCCAACCAAGCCGAACAGTGCACCGGCCCCGGGACTCTCACCCGGTGGCACTGATGCGGAATGGTTTCCCAAGATCACAGAGACCACAACAATCTATTTCTGGCGTTAGTTTCGCATAAGATACCATCTTGACAGAGTGATCCCATAACTTATGTTCGCATGTCCTATTGTCCTTTCATTTTCCATCCATTTGAAACTCACAGAATGAGCCACCTCTGTAGTCCATTCTAAGACATATGAAGGACATACCCGATGACCATCAATTAACACCTTGTATGAGCAGCAACATATCAACTTGCTTTGCCAAATCATGCAGATTTTGAGAATACTTGCGCATAATTATGCATAGCATCTTACCTTCCAGGTTTCCTTTCAACAGAACAATGGCATTCACCTTCGGGTTGTCTCGGAATCCCTGTGAAGACATTTAAAATCAAGGGAAGCAGGTGCTTGCAAGGTGCAGGTGCTTTGTCCGAATATGGCTGAAAGTAAACTAAAAAACAGACACTGCAATGAAACAAACTGATCAAAAGATGAATAAAATCAAGGGCATGATCAGCTATTGTGGTAGTAAATTGCATATTATGCTATCTCTATAGTCCAATGATGAAATAATGCCTTGCACACCATGTCAGGTGTTCATTAATCAACGATACAGCACCCAACACGTGAACCAAGGTCCGGCGTTCGATTCCATGAAGTGACATCCGCCTTTTCCGTGCCACCAGATGAACAGCATTATCTACCTACCAACACGGCTATTCACTGCGGTCCCTTACAGCCGGAGTACAGGCATTACATGATTCACGCAGTAACCACACCCATGAATTTCCCAGTTAGAAATTTAAACAAATGAATACAATCATACTGAATTAATGCTGCAACATAAGCTTTGATTTGGACAGTGCACTATGGTAAATGTCAAATGATATCTAAGGACCAGAACGATAATAAGATAAAAAGCATAACACATGGTTTTCCACCACTGCTTGCCAAACAACAGGTATTATTGGTTTTCACAACCTTTGAAAATGCAACATGTACCTTGATGAACTCAATCCGAATTTTTCCTCCCTGGATGTCAGACTCATCACCACGATAGCTGAGGCGCCCATTCTGTATGGACAGTGGCACCACCTCATCATGTGCCACTCCCCTCCCCACTCGCTGGTAGATGTCTAAGTCTTGCACCACCGTATGGTCGCCATTCAGCACGACATCAAACACCTGGAAAAGAGACATAATCACTGGTTATTTGTCCAGGTGGCGATCAGAAAATGAACATGCATGCCCATATAGCCAGACATTACAACCATTCCTCAAAATGTACTGAGCTTTGGCAAGCACTTGTTGCACTTATTATGGAAGCTAGAGTTGATATAAAGTAACAGCAATAAACTCAACATTAACTGGGTGGTACACAATGAGTGGTGAATATGCTATTACCATGTCCAATTATCTTATCATTTGGATGCTTAACGGACATGAACAAAACTCAATCCTACAGACATTACCCATCCCAACTTCTGAAGAATATCTAACATCTTCAATCACATCATGCTGGTCAGCTACAGGTGTATGATGCTGAAGTCAGTACTTTGTTAGATTGCAACACTCTGAATCACCATAAGAAGTGTATGGTGAGGGAAACAAATCATTCAGGCTGGCCTCCAGTGTGCAGTAGCACTCCAGGGAGACTTGAGCTAGGTCAGGCTTTTCATCTCATATTCAGCAATGAATATCCATGTGTTATAGAAAGCTACCCAAATGCATTTGCTGAAGACACAGACACACAGGGAAATGCCCCTAAACTTCCAAAGCCAATCCTTCCAGTCCAATGCTGCAGAGGGGTGCCAATGGGCTGAGAAGTGCCTGCTTTAGTGTCAGTTCAGAAGGGCAAGCACTGGGTAGGCGATGACTTTGGGCAATGTCAGCTCAAGTGCCAAGTCACAATGGCTAGGCAAGGACTGACACTGGGCAGTATCAGTTCCAGTGTCAGCTCAGAAGGGCTGGCCAAACACTGATGCTGGGTAGGCTCAGTTCCAGTGTTAGTGCAGGAGGGCTGGGCAAGCACTGACACTGAGCAGTGTCAGCTAGGAATGGCTGGGCAAGCACTGACACTGTGCTGCCTGCTAATACTGTGCTTTCAACTCCAATGTGAGCTCAGAGGGGAAAACACTGATATTGAGCAGTGCCAGCTTCAGTGTCAACTCAGAAGAATTGGACAGGCAATGACACTGGACAGCATCAGCTCAAGTGCCAGCTCAGAATGGCAAGCACTGGGAATGCACTGAAATTGGACTGTTTATGAAGCTAGAGCGGACAGACAGTTTATGAGGCAGGTACACAGGGAGACAAACCTAGGAATCCTCACACAGTTCATTGCAATGTCACTAGCAAGCAAGGACTACCATGGGGCATGCCAACACAATACTTGACATCACTGTTGGAATTCATGGGATTTATCACTATGAACCTTTCCCTGTCTTCCAAAATAATGGCCCAGGCATAAATATGTGTAGATCACTCTACTTAGGTTGAACAAGGCTGCTGCAGAAGGATAAATAAAACACAAAAATTGTTCACCCCTTGTAACACCTAAATTACTGTAATATTCCAATTCATCTCCCTTCTGAGCAAGTGCTTTTGGAAGCTCAGAACTGGAAACAAACATTGTGCACCTGATGTCAGGGCCATTGATGGTGAGTGTAGGTGATTTGCTTCCAAAACTGAGTGGAATCTAGCTGCCTGCAGAAGCCAGGGAATCCCTGAGAGGATGCCAGATCACTAGCAGCTGTCATCAGCAGAACATCACAAAAATGACAATCTGTTATAGTGCAGACAGAGACATCCCAATGGGCTTCCATGACAGCTACATTAATTGCTATCTGTGCAGCTTTAAACCTTTATATGCTGTACTCATTTTTATAACTTAGGTACAAAAGCAGAAAGCTGGTATGCTTTCTTATGGTGCTTCAAGACAACAACAAGCTTACATTATAAGGAAATGTGATGACCAGTCTCATTCTATGTGTGGTGTAGACATACTTCTGTTATCAAAATTGATAGAATCACTATATTTGGAATTACAAAAGTCAATGTTGCAACATAATATCAACAGTCAATACTTCCTTCAGACCAGATCACCATAGCAATATATACCCCCAGTTGCACCCATTCTCCTGTTCTCAGCAAATTCAAGGCTAGGGCTACCACCTGGAGCAGTACCATCAAGAACCTAAGACATATTCCTAGCTCTATCCCTGCTAGAAAAAATACTGGAATAACTACTGATATAGCCTGAAGCAAAAACAAAGTATCAATCATGTGAGAACATGCCAACTCAAATTTATATTACAGAGGCAATTTATATTACAGGAAGCATTCTGAAACCTGCCTTTACTGATCTTTTATTTTGAATTGGCCCTCAACTTATCTGTACTCTTGATGAATAGAAGATGCATTTACATAAAGTGTGCTAGCATTTTTGGGGACAGCCTGCCACTCCCAATACAGTATCACAGTTAACCAGTGTTCAACTGCAACAACCAAACAATATCCACAATGGAAACCAAAATTACCTTCATGTTTGGAGCATCAAAATAGACTTCACTGAACTTCAGAATGAGTACATAATCACCATCTTCAATGACAGGAATATCATAGCCAAAGGTGCTGTGATGGTACCTCTCAGTCTGATACAATGGCTTGTCCAACAGTGGTGCACGCTGGATATCCAGCTGCTTTCCATAGTCTGATGCTGTGCCTATCTTTCCCATAAGTGGATCACGCTTGTACACAAACCCGTTAGAGTCTGTGTGGGCTTCTCCTCCGCAATTGACAGCATACATAACCTTCAGGCTGGGCCCACCATATGATATGATGGGGAGACATAACAAAACCCACTGAAAGGCAAACCGCTTGGGACCCATAATCAACGCTAAAAAATATATCAATTGCAACAACTATTTTTGAGAACCCGTCGCAAACACATCCAATCAAACTACAGTCCCATCTACGATATCGCCACCCAACACGACCGCCTCCTCCCCCATTCCTCCACGCAGCGTTCCACGCCGCTGCCGAAACGTGCACAAGGCTACGTATATATCAATATTGGGTGGGCCTACTTTGCTGACATTAATTACTGAGTAGTGAAATGAGCCGCTCCTGTCGCGTGGTAAGCAAATAAGAGTTCCGTGGAAGCAAGGTGACTCACTGGGCCCAGTTAATATTATCAATGCTTGCTAGATAAAGGGGTGGGAGGGAGGTGGACACCCAGAACATGCATTCCTTAACACGCGCCCGGGTGGGGGTCAACTTGACCGCCGAAAGCTTTTCCATATTGATCTCCAAACGGCGCGGTGTAGCCGCGCTACACTTTTCATAGCTGTAGGCAATTACATAGCGGATCTTATGGTATAAAACAGCATATGCAATCTCCAAGGTCCCTGTCCTATCGCAGGTCAAAGTCAGACCGTGGCTGTCAGCGAAGATAGCTTTTAGGAAAGCATTCAATCTGATACGACATTGAAGTGTTACACGAAACCACACATTTCTGAGAGAATTGCTTAGGAGATACGACAAATCAATTTGAGATAGCAACAAGTTCTATTGTCCCGGGGTCAGGCATAAAGGTGAGACCGAAGTAAAAAATTCATCTGCCTTTTTACTCGAAAGCCTGCTTTGTGGGATAGTCTCCGGTGCTCATATCGAATTGATTAAAGACAGGGACTGCAATATACATGGTTCATGGACTTTTTAAAGGTTAGTATACGTTGCTGACCCAAAATTGCTCAGGTTAAATTTTGTTTTCAAGAACATACCGCCTAGTGTATTTTCTGACGCTTATTTGAATGACAAAATAGCGTCAATCTCGTAGGTTTTTGGTAACCTTAGCCTTTTAAGGGGCAAACAAGGCCTTATATGAACATCACCGACCTATTGCTTAGCACATATAGCTAGATTCACGTTGGTTGCATGAAAGGGTCAGGAGGCACTTTGGACACCAATTTCAAGGTTGACCTTATTTGACTCCAAGGTCATGATCTAGGAAGCATAATTCTGACACAAGTGAGTTCACATAGAGGTAGACCCGTGCTGAAAATTTGATGTTCCCAGCCATCTTGATTTTGGAGACCTCAAGGTGTCAAATTGACCCCCACTCAAGCGAAGGGCATTAGTGAAGCGATAGGGAGGGGGAGGGGGTAGCTTCCCCTTCCCTGCAGCCAGGCAGGGGGCATGAGTATGTTTTTCTGCTCAAAATTTGTGAGGATTCTTTAACCCTACCTAAATGCTTCGCAGCTCCACATGATTACCAAATTCAGACTAAGGAAGTCTCCACAGCTAAGCTAAAAGGAACTAGATCGGACTCAGAAGACCGTTCTCTGCATCAATAAACCCGTTTTCTAGTTCATAAGACTGCCTTTATGAATTTGGTACCTGATGCTCTTGATTATGAGGCCCTATGTTGTGTTAGAAGGCCCCTTTTCCGGCTCTTGGGCCTTGGTTGTCCTTTATAGGTTGTCCTTAGATTGTCCTTATTCTGAAACAGGAATGTGGAAGTAAGTGAGTGTTTCATATAATTTGTGGTACAGTTACGAAGCAGAATGCCCCACTTTGAGATTATCGAACCCTTTGCTGGGTCTAGAGGCCTCTTTGCGAATCATAACTATCCTGTTCTGGATTAGTAGTTCCCTTTATTGGTCAAAAAGCCCTTTTTTCTGGAAAAGGAGGCTTCATTGTGTGAAAGTGAGGCTCCTTGCGGAATCGAAAAAGTTCCTGTACAAAAAATTCCCTTGCTCTAAATTTTTTGATGATCTCAAGTTACTTGTACGGATATTGACACATGTCACAATTGATAAGGGGTCACATTTGCCCCCACCTCTTTCAGCATGACACTGCCCACGATACACCTGGAAAACCCTGCCTACACCTCCCAGCTCAAAATTGGGGTTGCCACCCCTGGCCAGCTGGGCTCACCATGCTATTTGTGTGAAACGTAGCTGATGTAGCACGTACATCTGTGCGTTACTACAAGAACATTCCACCTAAACTGTAAATGATTAATTGTGCGTGCATGTCGCCTCTATTGCACCTCCATTTCAAATCGAGTACCCACCGCGTTTCCCGCCAAGCGCAGTACCCACCGCATTTCCCGCCGAGCGCAGTACCCACCGCATTCACCGCAAAGCGCAGATTCACACAAGGTCCGCGCCGACCGGCGGTTGGTCCGGTCCGATGTGTGCGGTACGGTCCGTCGTGGGACTGCATCGATCACTATTCTGTGTATCATTGGGTGGGACGCGACTGACCATGTCCCGTTCCGGGAGCGAGGTGTGCATGACCAGGCTCAACTGCCGCACCCAGTGTGCCGCAGGCAGGCGATCGCCGTCCCCGTCGACACTCTGCAAGACAGTGATGGACAGTACTCAACAACGATTGATTGGGTACGCTCATAAGCCAGCGGATCATCATCACGCTCGGTAGACTCTATGGTGCCGTCACACACCGCTGAAGTGGCCTACCACATCGGAAATCCATGCTTACAGCACGATACATGTGACCGCAGCCTTTGCCACGCTGAGACCCGCTGTTCTGAAGCCTGGCGCCGGCGAGCTTACCTCGATCGGTGTGCCAGCAGTATCGTGGACCACTGGCCGCCAAGACCCCGATGTCAACGCATGTTAAGTTAAAGTACACTGTAAAGCCCATCATTTTACACTGAGCTTAAATTATCCTTGTACTGCCCTCCGCTGGCGCGCCTCCGCGTCTCCAAGCAACGGCACACAAAAAGCTGGCAATACCCGGCGTCGTGTCTGCCGGTGTCGCCACGGCAGGGATTAGCCGGTGTAGACGAGCTGTGGCCAGAGTTCACGGCGGTCAGATGAGGAGCACCAGACTCACGTTCTGTCTCTGTTATCAGACAATCACGTGTTATGCTGTGTTATTGAAATTCAGCAAGAAATTTAAGGCTTTCGCGACGCCTGCTGGGGTCGCAAGCGTTTCATATTGAAAAAATCATTGTCCGCCAATATCTTGGCAAGTTGGTCTGTTAGCCACAGACCGCGTTCCCAGCACCATCTCGTTGCGACATAAACGAGGTGCAAGGATCCCGGGACTCACGCAAATCGATCTTCAGCCCTATACTTGAGTAACCATGCGAAGAGCAAACAATGGACAGGCCGGGCTGGGGACGAAGAGCAATATGGATATTGAGATGCAATGCATATGTCAAGCTAACTTCGGGAGGAGGTCTGTTATTACTACGAACGATGGTGATTGCAATGGTTGGGTTGATTTCACAGAATGTTCTTGATTTCACAGAACATCTGCTGTTCCTTGTGATCGTTTTCTACGCGGCAGTTTATCGTACCTTACTGGAGAGGACGGAGCTGGATACCGGCTCTTTTTGGGACGAGCTCAGGCATTTCCTGCCAAGGTCGCCCGCGGAAAGCCGCATGTTTTTACCTTTCAGATCCAGCGCAGGTGTCGCACAATAAGTCTTTACAGTATGCTGAAACAAGTCGTTTAAGGTGTGACCCGCGCTTACGGGATCTCAAAAGAAAATCTTCATTCTGGTTGATTAACAGGTTTCATTTGTCGTCTCAGCTTGTCACCTGACCACCAACGAAACCGAAATTTGTGATTTTTTATTCCGCTGCGGTTCAATCATCCCGTGCCTTTCTTTTCATCTGGAAAAATGCATGTGCATAGATAAAAACCACTGAGCGGTATGATCACCAAGTTGCAGGGCGAGTGTTGGATCTTCCGGACAGAGCACCTGGCCCGAGGTCCTTCGCTGAATGGTAAGCAGATCGGCTCGAAATGGAAAGTGACAAGGGAGTGCCACTGCCCCGTCACCTGGGTCACAGCGGACTTTCCAAACACGCAGGAATGGGTTCCGGACGTAACCCACCTAAAAATGGGTATTACTCTATCTGGAGGCATTTCCCGTCGCGACTGATGAGACAAACTCGACGACAAACTCGACGTAAGGATGTCAATCTTGCTGGATTAAGTCGAGCTCGTTGCCGGCAATGTGCTTGCCAGTGCAGATCACTCAAACGACGCCGAAGTGTTTCTTTTGAACTGCCGTGACGGCACGTTGGATCGGGGACGTCTGTGACCGCACGGTCCGCATGCCCGCGCATCCGGCGCCGGCGGCCGACACGGAGCACGCAGCGGCCGACCCGGCCCGGCCCGGCCCGCGCGCTGATCACTGATCAGCTGACGGACTGCAGCGCCAGCTTCGCCACTGGACCGGGCCGTTGACAGGAGGTCGGTCGAGCTCGACGCTGACGTGGCCGGACCCTCTCCCACAACCTAGACCTGAGCTACCCCCCTGCAGGTAGGCGTCCATGCCAGCCACGATTGGTGCCCGCAATCTATCCTATTTGCCTTGTCCTGCCTTTTCCTGTCACGAAAATCTTGTGTTCGGTCCGGCCCTGTCCGCTCCGGTCCTGTTCTTGCTGTAAGCCTCTATCGGTGGTTGTTCGGTTCGGTCATGTCCGTTCCTGTCCTGTTCTTGCTGTAAGTCTCTGTCGGTGGTTCAGCTGATCAAGCCTGGGCTTTGTTCTCGTCTGCTTGGTTCGATCCGATCCGACACCGCATGTCTTTGTTTCCGTTCCAGGCCTGTGCCATACGGTCCAGTCCAGTCCAGGCTGGGTTTGCGCGGCTCTTTCCCAGTCTTTACACGCATTGAGACCGATCTGGAGGATATAAACGTTTACCTCCTAAAACTGGCGTCTTGAGCCGCATGCCTTGTCTATTCTCAACTTATCCTCTAGAATTCCGCATTGCCGTATATTTGGTATCTGACAACGGTCGCTATAGTACTTCTTCTTCCACAACCCGCCGTCGCGAGAAGAATGTAAACTGATGTATAAATCATGCATTTTGAGGCGCTGTATAGAATAAGGTGCACCTATACATAACACTAAAATATGTTATTCCGCTACATGAAATATGGCTTTATGTCTTTTAGCGACATGCCATGTGTTTTTAATAACAATTCAGTTGTTGTGCGTCATAGGGCAGCTTTTAAATTTGACGC